GGAATTGCCAAAATCTTGTGGGCAACGTGTTCAAGGAAATGCTCAGAGATAGCATCATAACTTTCCAGCTTCTCCAATGGACTCCATTTATGCCTTTTGGAGAGGACCACCAGTAGTTCGCAATCTTCTTTTCAATCATTCCACAGACAAATATTGGTATTTTGAAACAAAACACAGCTTAACATGGGATGGCACTCCTAAATATCGTCTGGCACCTTGTAAAAGCGGTACTCCGAGAGTTTCTGCAACATTTATCTGATGACTCTCTGGACAAGCCTTACTCAAGGGAACCCTAGATTTGTTTAGGTTAGTTGCTTGCGCAGACGCATGACAATATTGATTCAAAATGTTCAACAGCTCCTAACGTTCTCCGATAGATCTCTCAAGGAAGAAGATCAGGTCTTCAGCAAACAATAAGTGGGACAAAACAGGGCATTCCGAGGTCAATCTTATTCCTTTGAGCCAACCTATGATTAAGATTGATAGGGATTCTGCAACTAGGATAAACAGACGAGTAGAGAATGGATCTTCTTGTCATGAACCTCGCAACGTAGGAAATACGGGAGTAGTTCTCCATTGAACTCGATGCCGAAAGAAACACCAGAACCAGTCACGCAATGTGTGATCCAGTAGAAACATACAGAGCAGAATCCTAGCTTCATCCAATAAGCCCCGACCATAGGCCTCATGTCTAATTTGAGCACAGCAATAAATTTCATCTTCCTTCACCTTGGTAAATGGTGCAACACTTCATGCACAACAAAAAATTATTTTGAATTTCACTCCCCGGAACAAAGGCGCCTTACACCAGAGAAATCAATTGAGGCATTAATGTTTTTTAATCGGTCAGCTAATACTTTTGCTATCACTTTAAAAGCAAAATTGCATAGGCTAATTTGGCGATATTGAGTTATACATTCCACAGTGGCACTATGAGAACTAATGTAATCTGGGGTTGGTTCAATCTGAGATATCAAACTGCCCATATGAAAATAACTCTTGTCTCCCGATTTCTTTGGTAGAACAATCCATTCATTCCGTCAGGTGCTTTTGTCGCTCCCATCCCAAATATCGGATCTCTTCCATCAACAAAGGTCTAATGAGTCCAGCGTTCATCTCAATTGATACCACCCAAGGGCATTGATCTATAATCACGTCGAAATTTCTGTACTCCTATGTTGAGAGCAAATCGCTGAAGAACTTGGTTATTATTTCTTTTAGTCTTCCAGGCATAGCACACCAAGTCCCTTCGATGTCTTGTGATAGAGAAATCTTCAGATAGCTCAAGCATGGAAGAATTTGCTACAGTGATCACTCAATTTCAGCTATTAAAACCTAGACCTCAAATGCCAATACTGGTCCTCTTGCCTCCGAAGCAGGTCGATTCTTGATTGAATAAATTTCGGTCTCGCCCTATCAAGCTTGCCTGCTCTGTTGCTTACCAACTGAGTAAGCTGTTATTGTAAGCTTTCAATCTCCTTCCTAGCATTCTTGAACTTCTTTTTCTACTCCAGGATGTCAGTGCCGAGGAGACTCTTTTAATTTATCATAGATGTCGTTGGAAGAATCAATAGTATCGCTCCATTGCTTTGCTATTAAACCTGGACACTCATCTTATTCCTGCCATAACTCTTCAGACTCCTCTTTCCTCCTAGTTGGTTCAACAGAGCGAGTTAAGACAGAGGGCTACGTTCGGAGCCCACTGTAGGAAGAGCCCAGATTTCAGCATTTGGGAAGGAGGTTTTCCTGTTCTACGTTCGCCACTGCCCGATTGATTCATTCTCGAACATTTGCCAACCCATCCCTATTATTCGACCACCCGAAGCAGCATAGCTCACTCTCTAGGTCCATTACAGACAACTATCTAAGAACTGTCTGAAAATATCCGGGCGGAAGTTTGTGCATCTCTCCTCCCTTTCTTCTCCCGATGATACAGCACTACTTTAAAATCTCCCGCCGCGGCCTAGGCTGGGTTTGAAGGTGCATTTGAGTTCTCCAGATGACGCCACAGATGCAGACGATTCTGGCAATCCATAGGAGCATGAGGTAACGTTAATCTGAATGCATTTCTTCTGTCATTTTTGTCTACCAACACATCTATGTACTAATCATCAAAAGACCCGCTCAAGACTTATCAGGGTTTAGGACTAGGACTAGCCTTGTTACGAGCACTATCCGATGCCAGGACTTGTATCTCCGTATCCACATTTCCATTCCACAACACGCGCGGCCCTCCTAGTGATCCTCTCGAGTCACAAATGAACATGTGCTTAGTTCAACCCCGACTAGTGAACATTACACCTTGAAAACCTCCGGTCCGTGATATGTAGAGGTACAAACCAAAGAGTGGGTAGAGAAAGACGAGATGGAGGGGTATTGGGGCATTAGAATTCAACATAATCTCGGAGAAATGCTGCCTCGGCAAAGCAATTAACAGACAACATGCTATGAAATAACAGCAAAGAAAATCAACATATAAAAAGTAAAGGCCAAAAAACCGATTGTCCGATTCGACGAAGATTGCGGCAACAGCAAACAAATCGACTCTCGTCGTACACAACTTTCAATTAGAATTCAGCATTCACGACGCGAAAGCCCTCTGAGAACACTCCCCACATAGTCTCGGAGAAATGCTTCCACAACCTACTTTTAGTTCGCTCGTTCGCACACATTAAAACCTAACATCAATTCTTGCCGCGCTACATCTGAAGGAAAGCATCCTACACATCAAGTCCTTTTTTTATTCCTGATCTCAACATTCGCTCTTGCTCATCAATTCGAAATAATATGAAACGAACATCGTCACGGTCCAATGCCCTCTTGCCCCCAAAAGCATCTCCACTACATTTGCGCTCCGCCATACCTTCTTCCACCACACTTCTTCAGAATGAAGCACCGAACAACTCCATGCCACACTCCAATTCCAACAGTCCCTGTCGATACGCCACTAAAAAACCCTAACAAAAATAAAGCTAGAAACCCCCCAAAAAAAAATACAAGCTCCGCTCCATTTCTCGACCGCCCTCGTCACCGGCAGTACGAGATTTCTCCTGGGGGTTTTCGGTTATCGGAACCCCTAAATTGCGACATTCTGAGCTTGGCGTAGAGAGAGAGAGAACGGACCTGGCAGCGGCGGCGGCAGCGGCGGCGGCAGCAGCGGCGAGAGGTTCGTCGTTGAAGGGACTGGAGGCGAGCAGTGGAGGGCGACGGTGCGCAGGGAGGTTGGACGGCTGCAATGCGAGTGAGCCAAACCGTGGAGGTCGTTATAAAGGACTAATATTTTATCAGGCAAGTAATCTAAAAAATAATATACAAATTTTGCTTATGGAATAAATCTAATCGCTAAAGGTAAAAAGACGTTAGGGAAAATGAAAGTGAGGTTACTCCGGCATAAGCTATAGATTGGCACAGTCGGCACATTCATTGACGCAGCTAAATGCGAGTGCCGGAGATGTTCTCGACCAATTGTTCGCGATTAAATGAATCTACTGCTAGCAAGGTTTACTTGCGTAGTTATTTCGACCCCGTGGAGCTTCCATGCACATATTCGTCGCTCTGAGCAGAGCCAAAAGCCAAACTACAGTCACTCAGACAATTTGGAGGAGTTTGCGCGGCCAAAGGCTGTCATGACAGACAGTGTTCTCGGCGGCCAAAGGCTGTTGCTCGAAGGGAACGCGAAAATATTTAGGGTGTCTCCGAGGCCAAATGTCTCTTAATGACGGACAGATGGTAATATTCAAGATGTTCCAATATTTTCGCGACACAGTAAATATCCATAATCGAAATCCATATCAAACAACATATTCGAAAGGATACCTGAAAGCACTCTGCATTTCCTCTCTCCTACAAGAAGAGTTCCCATGTCTTTTCACTTTCTCTATATCTAGTTATCGTCTACATGTACAGTCCTCATTAGAGCAGAAGTCTAAGATGACAAGATGACCCTACGATGTATTCTAGTTCCAGTTACATCTTGGAGGCTTCCTCAGGAAAATCATCCACGAATCACCGTTCTCAGTAGCAAAGAAAAAAAGAAAGAGAAAGAAAATGATCATCATAGAACACAAGCATGTGGGTTCTCCTCCCTATCACATGGCCAAATGAAGTATAATAAGCTTTTATGGTGGAGAATCATTTTTGAAAAACACAAACCGAATTATTTTGGCTTGTGGAAGTGCTAACATCGTATGACCGTCGCATAATAAGCCTTCGAATAAGAGAGCTCAAGCACAGCGGATAATGCAGCACAGCAATGTTTGTTGGAAATATGCAGTGCCTGATGGAAGTTGCACAATACGGACTCGGGATCGGTGTACTGATTAGAACAGCTATGAGACAATGATTACCCATTTGACGCTCGCTGCAACACCGACACATGGGTAGGGGAAAAGCGCTCTTATTGCTACTTTAAAGTTACCGACATTGATCCAGATCGAGAGTTAAACTCTGCTACACTGCAGCTGCAACTCCCCTGTCAATCTTTTAAGCCTCCGCCCAGAAAGGAAGGAGCAGTATACGACTCCACGCGTGCGCGCTCAAGTCCCATCGGCTTATCTTCTCAACGTGCATCCCCCGGACTTCAAGGCTACAAATCTCCATTCAAACAAAAGAGCCAGCCATCTCTCCTCCTCCACCAAGTAGAGTCTTTTGCCCAATCAGCATTCTGATATTGAGTATCCATCCCAGCCCACCCGGTATATTGCTAGTAAATCTGTCCCAACCTACTTCTGAATGACAAAAACGAGCGAACAATAGAGAAATTAAAATGCCAAGAATGTTTCGTGATTTCATGCACAAAGCTCTGGCAAATTGAATTTTCTAATATCAATGTTTCTTCTGTTAGTTTAATGTTGGATTCTGTGCTCCGGTTACTGTTTATGCGTTTTCACTAAAAGAATTAAAAAAATTAAAAGAATTGAGAAATTACAATCAAAAGCTAGTAAAAGATTTCATAGTTTATGACCAAAAAAAAAGATTTCATAGCACAAACTTGCCTGTCCAAGCTCGCAAGGTCAGGCCTTCCAACAGAGAAGTTCCAAGCCCACGAGGTGAAGAGGACACTACCCAGAAATTTGACTGCAGGAACTGTTTTAGCCAAAAGAGAAAAAGACCAACTGGTGCTTCATGGAGTTGTACAGATGTTCAAGTCGAGGACAGCAGAAAGTAGCAATATGCATCTTTCAGAAAAGCCTCCAACTTTTTATTGAAGATAGACCGGATATCCGTTGCTGCAGTAAGATCTTCACTCATAAGTCGGAATCATAACTGCCGACTATTTGTTCTTCTGGGAAATTTTTCCCATCGATTTCAAATGTACGTTTTGTTCGATCTGGTAATCCGGTCAATGAAAGGCAGTTGAACAAAGTGAGCCTTCTAAAACGAGGCAAAATTTCCAGCCCATCAAGTGCTCGCACATTGCAGTTGGATATTTTCAGAAGTTCCAATCGCCCCAAATCTCCAAGAGTGACAGTCTCTGCAGTCTCTGCCAAGTGACAGTGTTTGAGTTCTAATTCAGATAGACCTCTCACCATAGAAAATTGTGAATCATCAATCTTGCAGTGCTGAAGGCACAATACTGATAGGCTAGAGGGTAGCTGTCGGAGGTCAAGCAAGTTTGGGTAGTGCAAAACAAGTTTTCTAAGTTGAAGTTCACTAAAATTTTCAGGTAGCGTGGTAATCTTTGAGAGGCACAACTCCAAGATTTCTAGATTCACTAGTCTTGTTAACCATCCAATTTGTGGTGGCTCAGAGGAAGAATTCTGCATTGGATCAGTAACATCACCCAAGTTATCACCCAAGCACAGCTCTTTCAAGTTTCTCAAGTAGGAAAGGTCTGGCATCATCCTCATTTTTTTTGATCCCCAGCGAAGAATGCTTAAACTAGATGGAAGTCTTCGCAGAGTCCGAACTTGGTCACATTCACTTAGATCTAGTTGTTGGAGACAAGAGAGCAATGAAAGTGTTTCTTCATCACAAATCCTGCCATCACTCCAGGGTAGGCCAGAAACCCCGGTAGATGATAATCTCAAGATCTTCAAAGAGGATAATTCACTGATATCACACTGAATCTGCCCCTTCAGATTCCTGCATTGTGAAAGATCTATCTCTTCCAGCCGTTCTAGATTTTTTATATCTTTGGGGAATTCTCTTAAGTCAGTTTTCCGCATCTTCAGCACCTTCAAATTTTTCAGATGCTTGACAGACCTGGGTAATCTAGCAATCTTGGTGCCTGATAGATCCATGACTTCCAGTGACTCGAGATTCCCAATGGAATAAGGAAGCCGAGGTAAATTCCGACAATTTCCTAGAAGCAGGCTCTGAAGTTTCTTTAAGGATCCAATAGAATTTGGTAGCCTATGAATAGCGGCACCATCCAGTCGAAGATGCTCAAGAGATTCCAAGTGACCAATAGAGTCTGATATATGAGCCAAACGTTTACATTGGCAAGCGCTCAGAATTTTAAGTTTCTCCATGGAGGCTGGTTTGAAATCAATCTCACTAATGGCAGTTCCATCAATCAGAAGTTCTTTCAAATCTTTCATATGACACAGTTCTTGCGGCAAGGCGCTGATGAATGTGCAGAACTTAAGATTTAAGGAGACTAATTTCTTTAGATTACCTATCAATGGACCAATTTGGGATAGTGCCGAACAATGTTCCAGGATTAATCTCTCTAAGTACATTGAAGCACGGAAGTCTGGAAAAGTATTCAGGTCGCGACAGCTACTTAGGTTCAAAACTTTCAATTCCTTTGCCTTCTGCGAGAAAAGAGGACAGAATAGGCTCAATTGGTGCTAGCTATTCTAATAATCCCAGGATACATAAACAAATATGCACTTTACCTTCAGGACTTGTCCCCATTCTTGTGAACCTCCAGTGACCTTACTGCGAGATAGATCAAGAATGACCAGTTTCTCCATATGGAAAATAAGTAGTTCAGAGATGTGGCTGCACCCTTGCCAATCAAGCCACCTTAAATTTGAAAGAACATTCTCAGAACTCCCTCCTACAGTAGCCTGGTCCAATCTCAAGAACCTCAAGAGCCGTAGATGGCTAAATCTTTCACATCTAGAACACTCACTTTGTCCCTTATCAAACGTGAGACCAAGGGCTTCCACCTTACTAGGACCCTGCAAATTGAGGGAACTGAATAAGTAAAACGGGAAATGAAATATAGCCATTCACACTTCATTTTGGGAAAGAAAAATTAAGGAAAGGTGGTATCTTAAAAGATTGTTGACTGTGTTTAGGCTAAAAGATTTTATGCTTGAAAAGTATACCTCCTCTCCATTAAGCGTGGAAAGTGCATCAGTGTGATTCCATAACCTACTTCGGTTTTGAGGCTCGTGGCGATCTTGCATCCTAACGGTTTCCTTGCCAAACTCTCTTATTTGACTATGCATCCATAATTCGTTGTTTTCTCTTATTTTGACCAAACTCATGTCACGGAGAATTTTGATTCGTCTTGGATCACATTCACATGCACGCCACATGTATGGGGGAATTCTCTGATCCACTCCAATGAAAAAACATGCTATATCGAGAAATATCTCTTTCGTCTCTTCATGCAAAGAGTCATAGCTTAACTGGATCACTTTTTGAAATTTATCTTCTGGCGGCCTTGTTAAGCTATCAAATGTAGCTTCCCATGTTTGTCTTTCCCCCTCCCCCTTATCCTTATGCAAGTATGACGCTATTACTTCAATTGCCAAAGGAATCCCTCCAATAGTGTCAACAATATCTCTGGACAAAGAATCATACTCATCCTCCTCTTCGCGAGTACTAAAAGCATGCATGCGGAAAAGTTGAAGAGCTTGACGAAGCCCCATTTCTCCAACCTCATACTTATCAGCCACTCCATCTCGGTAACCATCAAGAACGTCAATTCTTCTAACTGTCATGAGAATCCTGCTTCCTGGGCCAAACCATTTGAATTCCCTAACTAAATGCTTGATTTGGTCAAAACTATACACATCATCAAGGAGAATGAGAACTTTCATTTCCCTAAATGAAGTTTTTATGACGTTAGTCCCTTCGTCAAGAGTTCCTAGCCTTCTACGTTCTTTCCTTAGGAGGTCTGAGATTAGCTGTTCTTGGAGGCCCATGATGAGTCCATTGGATGCACCATTTTCTCCAATAATTGAAAGAAAACTACAACGTTGAAAGAGACGATGGATTTTGTTGTACACAGCCTTTGCAAGGGTAGTCTTGCCAATCCCTGGCATGCCGCATATTCCAAGTACACGTACATCTTTGTCATATACTCCGGTTGCCTGCTCATTGACATAGATGACACCAAGCTTTTTCATAACCTCCCGTACGTGGGGTTCCATGCCCACTAAACCGTCAGTCACATCTAAATCATTCTTCTTCAACCAGTCCAGAAAATATGAAACAACTCTCTCTATGATTGCACCCTGACTGCCAAATGTGATGATGAAAATAAGGAATCGTGATGAGATTACAGAATAATTAACAACAGTCTTTGAAAATTACGAAGGAAATAATCCAGATAAACCGTACTAAATTGACCAACAAAGACGATGCAGTGGACAACAAAAACGGCACGGAAAGTACATTTACCTCATTATCAAATCTAGTCCTATCCAATTAATGAGTTCAAAAACATTGTGCTTGGCAAAATTCTCATAGAGCTAAAGCTAATAACTTTAAAAGGACAGTAAAAAGTTGATTACCCAATTTTTGTTTTCTGCAGATCATGGCCCTTCATATCAGCAATCTTTTCGAGAGCCTCCTTCCATTTTGTAATGACCTCGCGGTCAATTCCACGGCGCTCGTGCTTGCTGAAGGACTCCCCAACACATCCACGTTGGTATTTTAAATCAGCGGGGTCAATATCATAGAAAATGGGCACGATCATTTGAGCGTCTGCTTCGTTGCATTCCACCATTTGGGCCAATTCCATGAGACAACTCTTACTGGATGCATAATTCTTGGAGATAATAGGTATTGATATCTTGGATTGCTTTATGGATTGAACCAATGCATCAGGGATATTATCTCCAGGATCAAGTTCATTATCGTCTCTAAAGACAATGATCCTTGCATTAATCAGGCTGCTGTAGAGGCAATCTGCAAATCCCTGGCGAGTATCGGGACCTCTAAAACTCAAGAAAACTTCGTAATTGTTTCTTGATGAGGGAGGCAGAGGTGGAGGCGGAGGTGGTGGCAGGGGTGGCGGCGGCGGCAGGGGGGGCGGCAGCGGCTGAGACAGAGGCAGGGGCGTTGGATGCGGTGGAGACAGAGGCAGGGGCGACGGATGCGGCGGCGACGATGGTGGCGGGGGCAGCGACGGAGGGGGGGGTGGAGGAGGCAGTGAAGAGACCGACCCCTGTAGTAAAATGAAAAAGGCGAACTCTATCACAAAGTTGCCACTTCGTTTTAGATAATTTCCTCAGAGTAGTAAAAGCAAAAAGTGGAGGCATAAAGCCTTGACTAGGATGTTCTGATCTGAGACAATGAAGTTGCTTCAGAAAGAGTAAAAAAAGGAAAGAATCAAGAAGAAGAGTTGACCCCATCCGATCTAGGCTCATTGATGATGTTCTTGAAAGGAGATGAGATCTAGCTGATTTGAAGACCAAATCAAGATCAAGAGCTGATTTGAAGACCAAATCAAGATCAAGAAATGTTCCATCCAGTAAATCCTTTGATTGCAGTCCAAAGAAAAAAATTGCACTGATGATGCAGATCTAAGCATATATCATCTAAATCAACAGTCCTCCCCACACAGACATAACCCAAAAACAAACAATGAAATTCACAAACACGGGAAGCGGAACTAACCGGCCTTCTCCTTTTGCCTGTAAAACACAGGCAACGCAAACAGTCCATCACCTCCTTCTCTAGCTCACTGACAGACGAAATCTGGCCTGCTCTGCAGAAGCGATTCCAGGTTATTAGCCGCGTTGACGGGAAGGACTTTCATGCGAGGAATACACCATACGACAGAGAAAAAAACATTAGAAAAGACTTCGTCATTAGGTCTTTTGTTTTTTTAATCTGACCAAAAAAAAAAGGTCTTGTTTTTTTTATCCGACCAAAATGAAATATATCATTATCAAATATATTTAATTAGTTTTTCAATACACTCATTAATAAGATCTGAAAAAATTGTGCAAATCCACTCACCTTTTGGTTTCGCAACTACCCCAAACTTTAAGCCTACACCTTGTTCTCTTGAATTTCACTTCTACAAATGTTGACATTCCATTTATTTTTTTTCTTTTCCTTTTTCCATTGACATATGTGACATATGTGGTTTTTATAAGGCTCACACGACAACTTAGAGGAGTAAATAGGTGATCTTAAATAAATTTAATTTTTTTTTGCAAAATACTTGCGAATAAACTTTGGCACGAGCAAACACAATTTATGCATGGCAAATACTTCTATCAAACAGATAAAGCGTTGAGATTCAGAAGTATGCAAGCAAATTTATGGTGTTCCAGCTCATATTAAGTCTAGTCACTCTCCCGAATTAATATACTTGAATCAATCGGGTGTCGACTAGTAATCTTCAGGATATTACAAATAGAAGTAGATGTTGCTTTAGCTAAAAAGCTAGCAGATAAATTTATGAAGTTGCAAGCACCTTTATCATACTTCAACACTTTCTGATCACTCATTACAATAAGCAAGAAAGAGCTTTTAGAGAGAATCACAAATACAAACGGGTGCATTTTGGGAGCACGAGAGGAATTCAAGACAATAAGAGAGCAAGATGACTTTCAGAAGTTCCTCCAAGTCCTTCAGCAAGCTCTGAATCCTTTCTTAAAGACTTCCAATCTTCAAAGTTGCCGTTGGACACTCCTCGAGGTCATCCAAGAGTCGTTGGATGTGGAATCACGATCGCCGGCATGCAGGCTGCTCTTTGACAAAGGTGACGTTTCCCTAAATGGATTTTTCTACGTCTGTCCACCGTTTGACCATCTGGCTGTTTGCACAAAAGAAGTAAACTGCCTTGATTCAACTCCAGGCTTTCTGAGATGAGCCTCCAGGCTTTCTGAGGTGAGCCTCCAGACTCTGAAACTAGTCATTTGCCTGTAATTCGAATTTCTAATCAATTCAAAAGAGGTCTAGGTTTTCTTATTCAGGTAATAGAAGCAATCTCCGCGGACCCGTCTTCCACTCTATTGATAGAAGGAGCAGCCTCTGTCACCGGTTCTTCCAAGGTTTTCACGCTTTACGCTGAAATGTGACTGTTTACCTACCATCATTTAGTCATTTCAAGCTTATTGGCGATCTTAGTTCTCCTCAGTTGTTTATCTTTGCATGGACCATTGAAGTTCCCATGAACTCCTCGTTCTATTGGACTTGTTCGCCTTCTCCGCATGCTCATCTAACTTTTAGGCACCTTGACTCCCAATAGCATGTTCGTCCTTGATAACAGCATAGCACTCCTGTTTCAACGACCCTATTTATGACACGATGTGCATCTATCAAACAATGAAGCACTTCTTCTTCTTCTTCTTCTTTTCTAATGAAGGACTTCTTAGTAATATTAGTTGCGGAAACAGTCGTATCATTTTTAATTTTCTTTATACAAAAATAATCCAACATTACTAATGCATTAGTAATATTAGATTATTTTGCCATTTTCAAAATAGCTTATGGAGGTTATCCAGACAATTTAAGTTAAAATGTAACCTTCTTCAATTTTTGTGTAAAGAAAATTAAAAATGATACGACTATTTCCGCAACTAATATTCCTATGACCACAACTTTTACATTGAGGTTATTCTACGTGATACAACCGGCACTGACGTGAATAATTTTAAAATATTTTTCTATTTTTCTTTTCTTTTCTTTATTTTTTTTCCTTTGGACTATCTTACCCTTGCCACCCACAAGTAAGGGCTGGCAACCATCGCTAGATGTTGGCAAGGGCCTTTACGCCTTCACTGTGGCCTATGACTCTGTGAGGGCGTTGAGCGAGGACCGTGATGCCCTCACTAGCCAAAGTGAGGGCACGCAAGTCGTCGCCCAAATCTAGTGAGGGCCGCGATGCCTAGATCTGTCGAGGGCCGCGATGCCCTCGCCCAATGATGGCGAGGGTCGCTGGCCCTCGCCTATGGCCGGCTAGGGCCGGTCGACAACCAAACGAAAAAAAAAAGTAAAGAAAAGAAAAGAAAAAAGCCAAAAAAACTTATTTAAAAATTCAAAGAATTATTAAAAAAATATCCACATTAGTGTCGCACCAGCATTCACGTCAACAATTTCCGGTCAAAATGAAATAGATAGACTCAATTGGCACAAATGTAAAAAGTTTAGAAGCAAATCGGTATAATTGAAAGATTTATGACTGAATTGGCATCAATGCAATAAGTTTAAGACTTTTTTTAACACTTTTCCCAGATATGCTTGAGAGTGAATGCTGAAGAGCGAAGTGCACCAAAATAACATACACCTTCGTGTGTTTGATTGTGATACGGATTAGTCAAGTGTTAGAAAATCGCCCCTTTCTCTCCATTTCTTTCGTGGAAAATAAATGATTTGAAAAATTTTCTTAAGATGGTAGCATATATCGCTTGAAATAATTAGTCAATGAAAAATATTTTCATTATTAATAACAATCCACATCTAAACATATTCGTGGACAAGAAAAATATTCTTCATTCATTCATTTTTATAACAAAAAAAATCAATTTTAAAAATTATTTTTTTCGCAAAATAAATGTATCCCAAATAAAATTACACAACCCCCGTCCTCCGGGGCTTTGAAAGTAGTATTCACCTCCGAATTTTCTAACATCACACACCTCTCAGACTTTTCGTAAAAACGTATGCTTTTCAGAGAATAAACCTTCAATAATAGATGACATTTGGATTTGTTTAGAATTTTATTTTCCGCGACATTATCTCAAAAATTGATTGGAAGTCAATGTTAGAGGGTGGAAGAAAGGGTTGAAAAGTCAATTTGCCCTGAATTATGTTAGGGGGAGTTTCTATGTTCTGAACTTTTTCTCTCGGAGAGATAGAAGGGGAAGGGTAGTGGAGAACGTGGGTGTGGATAGCGAAAGCAAAAAGTGTGAAGCATAAGGCCGACTGGTTTGACTAGGATGTTCTGATACGAGACAATAAAGTTGCTTTAGATTAAAAAAACAATAAAGAGATAATGACATAAACAATCCCTGAATTTTAGCTCAATATATAATTTAATTCATGAATTTTTAATTTATTCAATGTAATCCCTGAACTTTAGGTTAATATTCAATATTGTCCCTGAATTTTTAATTTATTCAATGTAATCCCTGAACTTTTGGTACATGTTCAATTCAGTCCTTGAACTATATAAAAATGTTCAATATAGTTCTTAAATTTGAATTAATAGAAATGACTACATTGAATATTTTCATATAGTTCGTGGACTAAATTGAATATATACTAAAAGTTCAGGGATAATATTGAACAAATTAAAAATTCAGGGACCACATTGCACATTAGATTAAAGTTGATGGACTATATTGAAAAAATTAAAAGTTCATGGACCAAAATGCATATTGGGCCAAAGTTCATGAACTATTTGTGTCATTTTCCCAACAACAAAAGAAAAAGAGTTAGGCCGTATTCAATCTAGGCTCATTGATGATGTCCTTAAAAGGAGATGAGATCCAGCTGATTTGAAGACCAAATCAAGACCAAGAAATGTTCCAGTAAATCCTTTATTGCAGTCCAAAGAAAAATTCGCAGTGAAGATGCAGAGCTAAGCATATACTAGCTAAATCAAAAGTCCTCACACAGACATAAGCCCCCCCAAAAAAACAAGAGAAAGAGACTCGCAAACACGGAAAGCAGAGCCTATCGACTTTCTCAAATTTATCACAAAAGTGCAGTTGAGTCCTAAAATTTATAAAAAGTGCAATTAAATCCTAAAACATATCAAATTTGTGCAATCGAGTCATTCTGTTAACTTCATCTAACTTAGCTAACGAAAAACACCCACTTGGCTTTTTTTAATTTTTTTACTCTCCTACATAGCGATGACGTGGCTAAAACACGAAATATAAAATTAAAACGACGTCGTTTTTGTCCAAACCTAATTTGTAATACAAAATTTATATAACTTAAATTAAAAAATAACCTAAATATTTTTTTTTAAAAAGGGAACGTGAGAACAGGCGACGAGAACTCGTAGGCCTTGCTACCGCCATCCTATCATTCCAAGAAGGTCCGGTGATGGTGGGGGGAAGGCTGGCGAGGGTCGTCGGGCCCTGACCAGTGGCGGGCAATCCTTGCCCAAATCTATGCTAGTAATCCTAGGCCCTCGCCTTCGATCGGCAGGTCTCGCCAGCCCTCACCTAGGTCTGCTAAGGGCTGCCATTGGTGGAGGTCGACCAGACCTAGACGAGGGCCTTCAAGCCCTCGCCTGAGGTCGGCGTGGTCACCGGCCTCTGGTCGGGGCTTGGCGACCTCCACCAACCATTCCCCCCACCATCGCCGGCCCTTCCTAACAATTGTAGTACGGCAGCAGCGAGGGCCTTGTTCAAACCTTCCTCTCTTTTTTCTTTTTCTTTTTGAATTTAGGTTATTTAAATTTTTTATGACAAAAAAAAGAATTTAGGTTATTTTTAATTTAATTTAAATAAATTATGTATTAAAAATCAGATTTGGACTAACATGACTAGTTTTAGCCATGTCATCGCCACATAGAATAGGGGAAATATTAAAAATAATATTTTTCGTTAGCCAAGTTGGACGAAGTTAACGGAAGAATTTCAACTGCACTAATTAAGTTTTAGGAATTGATTACACTTTTTCTAAGTTTTAGAATTCAATTGTAATTCATGATAAGTTTTAGGACTTCCAATGCACTTAACTCTTGAACTTTGTCATACCAACAGTGTTTGAAGGGGAAACATTACCATACCATGAGTGAAAACAACCAAGTAGAAACTTTTGCGCCACTAGTAGATGTTATAGTCTCCTTAGTTCCATCTAGTCCATTTCGTAAATCTGAAGCATCTAAGATCAATTGGCTTTATGA